GTTATCTTCGTTCGTTTGATACGCTCAGGTTGTCTGGATGAAGAACCATATCAATGATGCCCTCTTGATGAATTCACTTTATGAGTCATCGGCTGCTAACCACCCACGTATCTTCTTCTTATTAATTTCGTTACATCCCGGCAAATTTCTTATTAAAGGTTTAATTTCTTCTGTCGTTTCTTAACCATTTTCTTCTTCAGGATCGTCAATTAAATCCCATCAAAAAGTTAGTTCCAGCATTTTTCCAAAGTTGAAGATTTTATCTTGGCCCAGAACTCAGTACACCGATAAAACATGTTTCATTGTTAAAGATTTTGGGAATCTCGGGAACACTTTTGGATTTATTCGTCTCCTGTAATAACAGATGTCTTAAGAATGTTCCACTATAATGTCTCTTAAATGTCTCTATTACTCCTCTGGTGTAATAGCGGAATTAAGCTTGTGACATTCGGTGGCAAAAATCTGACAATTATCAATATTGTGTAGATTTTGAGGGTGAGTTGACATATTGTCAACAAGCAACAATGTTTTGATGGGAAGGTTTTTTGATTTTTAAAAAGGATTGTTACACTTGGGGAGAATTTATTTTTGAAAGCATTCTGAAAATAAAGTGGTCGAAATCCATGAGCTTTTTTGGCTTGTATAAAAAACTGGAAGTGCTTTTTTTTCAAATATCTTTTAGAGCTCTTGGTTTTTTTTGATTTTCCAACACACATTGCATCAATCGATGAGTTGAAATTAAATATTATTAAAAATTAAATAAAAAATTTACTTTTTTATTGACGAAATTATTGTAACTGTCAGCCGTTTTCGGTTAAAACGATGTTTCGGTTAAAAAGTTTTCGGTTAAGGGAGGTTTTACTGTATGTGCAAAGTTTCATCAACAATGCATTTGATTTAAATCAGCACGTATTCTATCTGGGCTTTGTTGTTCTTTGTATTACTAATTGCTTACTCTAATTCTGCCCTGTCTGTTCCTTCCATTCGAGCATATATTAACTAGAGCGGCCTTTCAATGCCCTGAGCGCAAGACATATACAGACAGAGGCAGCAGATAACACTACTTGCTATGTTTCCCACGTCTCGTAGTGATTTATCGGTCCCAAACACCTGTACCACAGTAGATAAGAGGTGCCTGTACTTTCCTGTAGCAAAGCCGAACCGCTGGGTACCATTTAAATATAAATAACAAAACCTTATATTTATATATTGTAACGTATACTCGTGTAATTAACCGTTTGCTTTATGAAACTGAAGAACCCGAAATCAAAACTAAGTAGTTGTGTTTTTTATTAAAGCAGAAACCTGGTCACTTATACACAACGACCAAGAACTTTAAACGTTTCGGGTGAAAGATTCTAAGTATTTATGGAAAAAGAAAAGAGCAAGGTTTGTAGTTTGTTAGAGCCAGGTGTTGCAACTTTCGAGTTCGTTATAGAAGTTTCGGGGAACCTAACCTAAGCGAGGACTTCCTCAGCGTGTAGGCCAAAGTATCACGACATCTTAGAGGGCAGAAGACAATTTAAAATCTATTACAGTTAGAGCATGGTAAAGGGTTAAGGGAGACAAGGGTGAATGAAGGATTGTTCTGAAGAAGTCTTTGCTCATAACGAGCTGTGATGCCACTGATGATGATGAAAGATTCTGGTTATGTATTCTTTTCACACTGTCAGTTTATCCTTGATATATTTTATTAAGGATGACCGTCATTATCTTTGAGTGTTCCATAGCGCACCTTTTTATTATTTTTTTATGCATATTTAAACTGTCATATTTTCTATTATAGTTTTCTATTTCAATACATTAATTCTTGAATCATTTTTCTTTATCCTTATTTATCTTAAATCTTATTGTTCTTCTATTTCTTTCTCTTCTAGTTTGTATATTCGTTACATATTTCTATATTGCCTAAAACAATGGGAAGTGCCGATTTTCTCATTTATACAATTTCCTATTCAATTAATAATTCAATAGGAAACTAATTTTTTTAAACCGTTATTGTGTCGATACAACGTTACCTTGTACGGATTTAGATAACGTTTTTAATATTTACTGAATGATATCCCCACGTGAAAACTAATCAATAATCATGCCTATTCTCAGAAACGTTTACTTTATGGATTATTGAGTTCATCTATGAAGCCAGATAACTTGAAACCTTGGGAGTGATACAATATACGGATATTACCTGCCTTTGTGTTTAATATAATTCAGCGAACATATTGCTAAAAATGAATATGCTAAATAGGTAATTATTTCTAATTTTAGATCAAGACTGGGAATGACTGTGTCTGTATTGAAATTTTATCAAGTGTATAATATACTTGATATGAGAAGAATATGAGACATTTGAACAAATATTTGAAGCTGTCGTCCTAAATTAATAATGTTAAGCGATTGAATTTTTTTTATACTAGTTAACTTGTTGCAGGTAACGTGATAATCATGACTTTATGAAGTTGGTCTTCCGGACATTACTTAACTTTTATCTTTTCTCAGGCATTATTCTAGATTTTGATAGCTGAACATCTTTAGTTACGACAATTTATTTCGCGTATGTTATGGAGAAGCTGCTGTAGGGGATGTAAGGATGTAGGCCTAAACTAAACTGTATTGTGAAAAAAGAACATGTAAAATATTTTATAAACAAGAAATTTAAAAATAGCATCCCTATCCTAACGCTGACGTGATGAGACTCTCTGATTGTCGACCTTTTTCTGTCCGCAACTACCTGGAGCTCCTTTCGAGGGGTGTAAGATGAAGGTCGGGTATAACTTAACTGAAAGTGTACTATACGGGGTTGCTCGAAAGTTATTTAAGACGCCTCCCTTGAACGCCTGCAGCGGTTCAACAAGTAATAGAGTTGAGTTAAAAGTTTCTTTCACTGTTTGTTTCGCTGAAACTTAAGTCACTGATCTGTGAAAAGGACGCACGCCTTTGTCATTGGTCGCTTGAAACATCCTCTGTTATTTTTAATTGTCACTGCACGAATATTACCGTCACTACCCGCATGTAATGAAGTCACTCTACCCAGCACCATCTTAATGATTCAGTTCCATCTTCCTTCACCGTCACTAGACTTCCAATTTGAGAAGGCTGTTAAAATGTGTTTTCCACTTAACTCGCTGCTGGGGGATGAAATGTATTCCTTGGACCACCTAGTCCAATATATTGAATCATTTGAAATCTGCTAATGCTGTTTTCTTTGACGTCTAAGAAATTCCGTTCAGGTATTGCGGTCAATGGGGATCCAAATAAAAAGTATGCTGGAGTAAGAGTAAGTAAGTCGGAAGGGTCGTTTAGACATTGGTGAGAGGTCGTGAGTTTAGGCAAGCTTCAATTTGACGTAAAACAGTGGAAAATTCTGCATATGAAAGAATTGTATTGCCAATGACACGCTTTAGGTGAAATTTGACAGATTTTACTCCCACCTCCCAAACTCCCAAAGTGAGGCGATCGTGGCAGAATAAACTGCCAACTGATATCTTCGGTAGTTAAATTGTCCCTAATAGTTGAACTAGAGGTGTGAAAAAATTTGATACTCATTTTTTGCGCCAACTAAGGTACTACACTTTGTTCTAAAGGATTTAAGTTTTAACCATAGCTAGAAAACTTTCCGTGGTCAAGCTGCTCACGACTTCTAAATGTATGGCCTTAGTTGTTAAACAGATGAATAGAGCTATGTAACCCTTGATAGTTTTATAATTTCGGGTGTGTCGATCCTTTAGCAAAAAAGGTCCTGCATAATCAATTCCACAGTTGTAGAATGACCTAGAGGGAAACAAGACGTGATGAGGGTAAATTTCCCATCAGATAGGTTTCTAATTTAGGAGCCACCCTACAACAGATATTAATTAAGTACTTAACGTCCATTAATGGGCCAAAATTTTTCACGAATGGAAGCTAACAGTAGTTGAGGACCGCAATGATTTAAGGTAAGATGTTCATTCGTACAAGAATAGTATAAAGTGGTATGTGTGTAGAATCAAGGACAATGAAATATTTTTTATCGTAACAAAAATCAGAATTATGCAGTCTTTCACCAACATGGAGTATGTTATCCTTATCGATAAACGGATTGAGGGTAAGTAGTTTACTTTTAGAGTCAACGTTATCATGTCTTTTAAGGTGTGCCAAATTGTCATAAAATGTTTCATTTTTTACTTCTTCTCTTCAAAGTGCCGTCTCCATCAATGGAGGTTAGCGGTTATGGGAGCAAACGTTTGTTCTATCTTCATTTTTTACTAGTATAGATGATATATTTTAAGCATTAGCTGATGCAATAGCGACATCTGATAATAAATCACGAAACACAAAATTCGAAGATTTCTAATTGTTGAAATCAAATTCAGATTTTTGCTTTAATCTATACCTTCTAAGAATTGCAAGGCAAAACAGACGTTGATAAGACCATTAGAGAAACGGGCAATCTAAAATTGCATTCACAACATATCTCCTGAATTAAGCAACAATCCTTGGCGAATTGGTTTCTAGTACTCGAATAGCGATTTGTTCGCAGCAAAAATTTCATATCTGAACTACTCATGCGCAACAAATCTCCATCGGTTCGAAGTTCTAATAAAACGTCATCTATCTTTAAATTCGATAACCATTCTCTTCGACCATATTCTTCCCTTTTCTTCAAACTTAGATAGAACCCAACATTTACGCTTACATTTTCGTGAATCACCACACAACATTAGAAAGCACGCGGTAGCAGTTAATAAGCATTCCTCCATCATGTCACAAAACTCTATCAGTGTGGACAGAATGTTGTAGGTACTCAACTGAATTTGTATTTCGACAAGTTCAAACATTCATTAACATTGTTGCACTAGGGAGGACAGTTTGTTTTATGTCAAAAGTCTAATGAATTAAACATTTAGCAACTTGTTGCAACATAAAATCGCTACAAGTTGCCAAATGTTGCTCCAGTGTGGACGTGCCTTTACACAAACACATAAAAGCTATGTTAATTATAAGAATAAGTAATTACTTACAGCTACAGATCCATAAATTAAGAGACATGCTATAAATATTTGGATTCCGTATGACGTCAGTATGCCAGTATGTTCTTCAATAAGAAATGGTTCTTCTAATGTTATGATTTCCCATATTCTCTCGTATATTCGTAAACCTATTATAATCTGTTAAAAAAACCATTGATTATTGATGGTAGATCCATCAATAATGATAACAATAAATGATGTATCTAAAAGGCTACACACATATGTTAACAATTATTCTCAGCGTGTAGGTAAAAGACTTTCGTGACTACAATAAGAGCCAGTCTTATCACTACATAACCTCACGTTGCAGATGACTAACTTCATTTCCGTACTGATATGAGGCGAAAATAAATTGATTTGCTTGAATAAAGTTAACTAAAGATGTCACTTTGAGTGAAGAGTTAATATTGATAATGGGTAAATACAAATTGTTGATGAGGAAATGGTAATAGTAACTGTACAGAGCTGATACATGAATGATGAAGCAGTGGATGATGAAAAATTGCACGGCGAAGTAGATGGCCAACACAGGAAAATCCTTCCCATGCTGTAGAATACCGTGAGATTGTTACAGCGTAGAAACTACCGAACTAATAATCCCTATTCGTTTAAACGGTTAAAATACTTAATCTCATCAAATTTAAATGAGTTGACTACAGTAGGGACTGACTCCGGATAAAAAGCGACACTCTGAGTTTAATTAGCCTTTATCAGGCGTGGATAGATACAGCTATGCTGAAAGAAGACTAGCCATTTTCTAGCTCCTCGAAGGACAATAATAAACCAAGAACAAACAATCACAGCAAACAAATAATATGAAAACGCAAACTTAGTCTCGCAAACATAATTTAGAAGTTTTGCTGAGCTCTGTGATTCAAAAACTTAATCGCACAACTTTAATATAATACGTATTTAAATTATTAACTGATATGTTTACAAAAAATATGAAATTTTGAAGTGAAGAACTAAATTTAAATAAACCTTAGCAAATTTACATTCCCACCTCTACTACATTATATCTATTTCTATTTATTGAGGTTATGAAATTATTTTTAACAAAAGAAGTAACTCAAAAACAGTTTTACCAGATGAAGAACACCAATGGTAACACAAACTTGACGTAAAGTCACATTCATTTGAATTTTCATGAAACTTTTTTATTCACTTCAAATCCTATTAAAATGAATGTAGCACAAAGTACGTAAACAAAACATCAACTAAAAAAAATGGCAATTTTGCCCGTTCCAAGGCGAGGTGAGGTATTCCATAACGTTTCAGTAGAGAGGTGGTAGAGATGGGACGGATGTTCATAGCAAGAGGTGGATGTGGTGGTTATTATTGGGTAAACAGAGTCGGACTGTGCATTATGCATTATTGAATATGCATTATTGAATGTGGAAATGTTTAATGTAGTATTGGTAAATAACTACTATTTTGTTTTCTATGTCAATTGTATATATATTATTTATATATATATACTATTATATATATATATTATATATATATATATATAGTATATATATTATATATAGTATCTCAGTATATATATATAATATATATAAATTATGAGTTTTTGAGGATGACAGTCAGTTTATTTGGCCTACAAGGGACAAAGGAAAACTCTTTGGACTTACTGTCAAGCTTCGAAATTTTATATAATTTCTTTTTCAAGGACATCTATAAAAGAGAAATATAAATTAACCTAGTTATAAATTGTTTAATATTGTCTCTACTTACTAGTCGTTGAGATTACAGTTTATAACTATTATTGATACTTTACAAAAACAACCATTATAAATGATATTAAAAAAAAATTTTATTAAACAATAACTATATTGTCACTATATATGTCATTGTCCATGGTTGATTAATGGACATATATGAACGAAAATACAGTTACTTTATTTTGGAAAGCAAAACCTTTTGTGAAAAAAGAATTAAATAAAATTCGAAAGCTTGACAGTAAGTCAAAGAGTTTTCTTTGTCTTGTGGCCAAATAAACTGACTGCATCCTCAAAAATCATTAATTATATTTAAATCAACAGTCAAGAATACCACCATCATTATATATATTATAATATTATATATATATATATTATATATATATAAATATATAATAAAACTCGTATTTTAATTAATTTCATTACAATCAAAAAATATAAAATGTAAAATTTTATAATTGGATAATTTTAATTTACAGACGCCAAATTGTTAATTCAATTTTTTTATTATATCTCAGGATGCTTATTTGAGTTTAGAAATACCTTTTTTTTGTCTCCAAGACTTAATTACAATAGGAGAAGGAAATAAAATAAAATGTCGGTCAGATAGCTCAGCGGGCTGTCTCTCTATTCGCTTCACTGTCGATGGTTCAGTTGATGTGGGATCGAGCCCAGCTCGGTGTACAGAAAACAAAAAATCTAACGCAGCAGTTTAAATTTAAGACGAATCTGCGGCTAGACTAGGATATGCTGGGATCTGATCTGCCTATGGTGGAGCATACGGCAAGAGATAAGGGCATGCGGCCTCGGTGATATCCTCCATAGATCCCTACCGGACGGGCGTAACGCCTAAAAAAACCGGATATATATATATAATTATATATATATATATATTATAAATATATTAAAATAAATTCAAATGCGTTAATATTATTAAATATAGCATTAAATACCTTGGGAAAATGATTACAAATAGATCGAATATTATTGTTTTTAAAAACTTATTAAAGTCGCTGGTAAATTATTAGAATAAAAACGAAAAAAAAAAAATACAATATTTTGATTGCAAATAAATTAGTAATTAACCAAAAAATCACGAAAATACTTGGCGTAACTCATTAATGTTTTCTGTACAAATAAATGCACTTACCGTTTGAGTATGTTTAATTAATTGTAGCAAGAGGAGTAAAATAGTGGCTGAGCCAGTTGGTGGTGGTAAACTGGAGATGTTTAGAGTGCGATGTCTCGTTTTCATCTGTTTGTCAGTATTTGTAAGGAAAAAAATTCGTACCTACAAATTCTCAAGGGTGGCCATACTCTGATACTGCTATACAGGAGACGAACCCTCATAAATCAGAGTTTTTAAACGGTCGACCGCCTTGATATTAAATTGCGTATACAATTCCGTAAAATTTCATATTCTAACAACAAATGAATTTCTTTGAACTTAAAAACAGATTACCAGGTGTTAGTCAGTATGAAAATGAGAGTTTACTGAACTGAATAGAAGAAAAAATAGAAGTAATTAGAATATACAATTAAATAAGATCATATTACAATTACAGTAATAAAACTTTTGAATATAAATATGGTAAATAAATAATACAAAATACTTGTCCAAATAATTATAAACAAAATCAATATATAAAACTATTATAAATAATTACTAACAAATCAATTAGACATATCAATGTTTCTCTATCCTGATAAATTAATCAACACCACCCAAGTTAAATATCTTTAAAATAAATAACAAATACTACTTTACAAAATATTAGCAAAAAAAAATTTATACAAATAATTTTATTTTATTGTTTCGTTTCAGAACTTTATGCACATGCAATATTGTTCTCGAAAACAAGTTAACTTTCAATTATTTCAACTTGTATATAATGTCCGCGTTTTCTTTATATTTAAATTTTAAATTTAAAACTGTTCTTTTATCAAAACTCTACCGTTGTTCTGCTCACACGAAATCAAGTGTTCCAAAAATCCTCCTATCTCTTTTGGCTGCCACAATTATCCTTGGCTATTAGTTCTCCTGATAACTGATAAACTTATTTGTACTTACAAATACCGCAAACTTGTCTCAATCTTTATTGGGACATTATTATTAAATCTGACATTAGTAATCTTGGTACCTATAGTATCGTCATATAATATTTTAAAACTTTATAGTATCGTTAAAAAATAATATAAGATTACTTCTTCTTCTACGGCACTACAGTCCAACTTGAGCCTTGACCCCCTTTACTTTTTGCCTCCACCCTTGCTTGTCTGTGGCTGATCTTCTTTATATACGGACTCCTACAAGGGCTTGTGCGTCGCTATTTACTAAGTCTTCCCAGTGTTTTCTTGAGTTTTCAACCGGTCTCTTTCCCTGCATTCTAACATTCAGTGCCCTCTTTGGTAACCTACTCTCTCTCATTCTTATCACATGTCCGGCCCATTACAATCTTTGTATTTTATTCAAGTCTCACAGTGGTGCTTCCTTATAAAGTTGGTAAAGTTCATTATTGTATCGACTTCTGAAGATTTAGTTTTCCCTCATAGCTCCTAGTATTTTCCTCATCACTTTTCTTTCGAATGTGTCGAGTTTTCATTTAGATGTTTCTTTTAGGACCCATCTTTCACTACCATAGCATGATATTGGTCGATTTAAGGTTTTATAGATTCTCATCTTTGTATTTCGGGTGGACATTTTTAGGCCGTAAATATATGGGAGAGGCAAAATAAGCTCTGTTTGTCTGCATTATTCTCTTCTGTATTTCTCCATCTTCTGATCCGTCGGCATATATTTTTACTCCTAGGTATGTAACTTTCCAACTGTTTCAATGTCATCTTCATGTATAATGTTTTGTGTAATATTTTTGTTTTTTCTGTGTTTTATTTCTATCCTTTTTGTTTGCGTTTTTAACTTTGCGTATGTTTCCTGTGCTCCTGTTGGTATTCTACCTAATATAGTAATATCATCGGCATAAGCGGCTAGTTCAACCGTTCGGTTGGTCATTAGGTTTCCTCGTCCAATTTGCATTTGCCTAACTGCATACTCCAGTGCCAGGTTAAACAAAGTTTTGGCTTCTCCCTGCTTTAGTCCCTGCGAAATTTTGAAAAAGTCTGTCCGGTGGTTTTGTTTTCGTACACATGCTTAAGTTTCATTCATTGTGACTTTAATGAGTCTAATAGCTTGTGTGGTATTGCCAGTTTAGCCAATATATTGTTCCTTTTGACTGATTTGTATACCTGTTTGAAGTCTACAAACACATTGTAAACATCAACGTCATGTTCCCATGATTTACTCTAGATCTGTTTGACTGTATTTGATCCAGTGTCGATTTTCTCCGTCGGAAATCCGTCGGTTACTCTCCAATAATATTTTCTGCTAATTGTTGGAGGCGCTGCTTTAAAATATACGTGAGGATATATGCTGTACATAGTAAAGAAATTCCACGGTAGTTTTTGCATTGGAGTTTGTCTCCTTTTTACAGATCGGGCATACTATACCTACTTTTCTTCCAGTCCTCATATAGATCATGCTACCTTATACAAGTCGCTGGTATTTCATCAACTCCTGAGGCTTTATTGTTTTCTGGGCGTTAATAGCTTCGAGAACTTCCTCTGTGGTTGGAGCTTCTAATCTATTCTCCACTTCATTCTCTTCTACTTAGTTCGTAACCATTTCATCTTCCATGTCTACTTGTGTACCAAGTAGGCTCTGAAAATAATGCAGGTTTTTGTGACTTTCTGAAGTCACTGATTATTTGCCCACTTTTATCTTTACATAGACTTATTTGAGGTTTATATCTACTTTTTTTTTTTCGTTGTTTTTTTCTCCTCTTCTCGCGTTTTTCTTGATTCCCAGGGTGAACGCTGCCGCTGTCAGTACTGCTGTTTTAATATTCTTCCATTATCCCTCTATGGAGTGCAGTTCCAGCGTCCTTAACTAATTTGGTATTTCTTCTTCGAACTTCTCTTTACATTCTTGAATCTTTAGTTTTTTCCAAGTCCAGTTTGTTTGTCCTTGTTGTCTTTTGTATCTTTCTTTGTTAACTCTGCAACTAAATTTGCTTTGGAGTAAAAGATAGTCTGGTCCACTGCATGCTCCTCGTCGTGTTCTAACATCTGAGAAACTACTGGCTGTGCTTTTGTCTATCAGCACTGGTCTATTTGATTGATTTTGTTTCCATCTGGTGAAATCCATGTCATTTTGTGTATGCCTTTATGTGGGAAGCATGTGAAACTTATAACCATGTTTTTACTGGTGGCAAAATTTATGAAAAACTCCCCATTCTGGCTTGTTTCATTGTGTAGTGGGTGTTTTCCTGTTGTGCCATAGAACTGCGGCTTTATTTAAGCTATAATATCTAAGCAAGACTTAAGTATCTAACCATTCTAAAATGTGAAAAAATTATTTTTTTTTTCACCTT